CATATGGTTACAATGGCTATTGCTCTCTTTCTTAACTGTTAGCAAATATAGATCTTAATAATGGTTACAAAGAAAATAAAGATAGAAAATAGAAATAATGGTAACAAGTGACAGCTTAATCTTTAAAGAGCTCTAAGTCTATGTGTACACTTAAGACAAAGGACCACATCCAGGTACAATTTTTACCCCCTTCTGTGCCTCTCGACTCCAGCGGGTCAAGCCAGGGCCGGTCCCTCAATTCCTAGGAAAGACGAATACGAGGTGGGCATCCCCATGGAACCTCGGGAGGTCAAACACCTAACCCGGTCAGCAGATAGATGGTAGATTGACACTCAGAGTAAGTGTGCTGCTGGACCCATCTTTATACCCATAGGATCCGTATCCTCTTTCTTATCTAAGATTCCAAATTGTGTTGGTCTGTCTTTGTGACGCCAGTTCTTACAAGGGAGTTTCAACTTAATGTACACTTGCAAGAGAGATAACTAAATTGTGAGTACTGGACATTTTTTTACTAGGCGGGAGATTTCTCCCCCCGTACAGTGTGTGTTCATATCAATATGGGTTTCAGTCAAGGGCACTCCTTGGCAACCTCTTGGTCAGCAATTGGCGTATCTCTGTTTACAGCCATCCAGGGTCACAGCAGCCTGCATATCCGGGTCTTCTGTTCAAGGCTTACTGCTCTGTGTACCCTGTGTGCTCCAGGCAAGCAAAAATGGATGTTACAGGGGGGGTTCCTGTCTGGCTACATCCTCCCGGATGGGAGCCTGCAGACAGTGCAGTCAGGCTTCCGGCAACGTGTCCATGAGACGCAGCAGAGTCCCTGGGGGCAGGTCTGGTTCCATGTTGCAGAGTACTATGGTGCCCTGAATGAGAGCAAGCAGAGTACTCCGAGACACAAATTTGATATGGTTTCACATGACCTTCTTATCAATAAATTAGGGAAATACAACCTAGATGGGGCTACTATAAGGTAGGTTCATAACTGTCTGGATAACCATTTTCAGAGTAGTTATTAATGGTTCACAGGGAGGCTGATTCAGGAACCGCTGCTGCCCCCCAGTCCTACCCTCTACTCCACATACCGAAATCCTTTGTCCCCCCCCATATCCCCTCCCAGATCCAGCACCCCAATCCCCTGCCCCAGGTCACAGTCTCCTCCTGACCTAGCTCATAGGGTTACCAGATGGTTTAAAAAAAATACCAGACATACTTGATCTCAGATCGGGGGTGGGGAGAACTGGCTGGGGAGCGGGGCTGGCTGAAGGAG